TTCCACAGAAGGGCCGCCTGACGCACGGCCCCGCCTGACGGCAAGTCCCTGAGGGCCCTGTGCAGGCGAGGCACTGACCTTATAGGTGAAGGCCTTCCAGGGCAGGTGAGCCACCGACTTCATCTGGGGACGGGACGGAGTACGTCAGGGGCGGCCCGGGGACGCGGTGGGGGGGCGCGGGGACGCGGGGGGCGGCGCGTCTTACCTTGTAGTTCACGAAAAGCTGGGGTAACATGAATAGGAAGCCGAAGGCGTAGACCCCTGAGGAGGCAGGTGCGGCGTGGGGACGCGCCGAGCTCGGGCCCGCGGCCGCCCCCCCCCCCCCCGGGCTTCACGACCACCTGACCCCCCACGCCCGAGAGCACCGTCCGCGGTGAACCACCCGCCTCCCGCCCGCGGGGCTGAGAGACAGCGCCCCTGCCCACTCCCGGTGAACGCGGCAGCCCGCGAGCCCGGCCCTGTCCGCCTGCAGAGCGGCCGCGCGGTCAGGACGAGCCTAGTGGGTGGGCGCTCCTCCCAGGACACGGGGCCGGGGGCTGAGGCTCCAGCGTGCCCTAAGGCAGCGGGGTTCACTGCCCGCACCCAACCATTCCACGGACAGCACACCGCCCACGGCCAGTCCCGCAGGCCCAGCAGGCAACACAGGGCCCAGAGAGAACACGGGGCAGGGCGGGGCCTGACGGGGACCTCTCAGCACACCGGGCCACGCAGCGGCGGGACAGAGCGACCCGCTGTAAACGCCGAATCTGAGACGGGAGACCCAGGACTCACCATTGACGAAGCTGCTGACCAACCAGGAGTACCAGCTGGAAGGGAGGAGCGGGTGATGGCGGAGGCCGCAGACCCCAGCGCTAGTCTCTGCTAACCGCCGAACCCCACACACGCCCTCACGCTCTCCAGCGCCAGCACCGGGGCTGGGCTCTGCTCTCCAGTCCCGGGACCCTGCGGGCTGGCCGGGGGCGACCTGCACGGGGAGCGGCTTCCCAGGAGCCCTCACCGAGGTGAGGGCAGAGACTCGGCACCTACCGACTTTCCTTCACGACTTCCAGTGAGATGGGAAACCACGGACGCCCGTGGACGCTTCGGCCCCTGTGGGCCCGGGCAGTGTGTTCAAGCCCGAGCCCTGCTCCCGTGAGTGTTCCCGACCCCGCAAGGACCAGAGAGGGCCGCGCAGAGCCAGCAGCGGCGGGCAGGCTCAGGCCTGCGGCCGAGGGGCGTCCCAGTGCCGGCCCCACTGCCGGCCCCGTCAGTGACCCTGGGCTCCAGCTGAAGAGTAGCAAAGGTGACGTCCTACCTCTTATATCTGACGTTCAGCAGAGAATAGACGGCGCCCCCGATGCAGAGAGGGTAAAGGAGATACGACAAGTATTTCATGGCCTACGGGGAACAGAAAACGTCCAGTGGGAGTCCACCATCAAACCTGCGGAAACTTCCTTGATGGAACTCACAAAAAAGGGGAAACACCCAGAACGTTTAGGGCAGCGAAGCTAGTCTGTGAGGAGGATGTGCGTCAGTGAGCGTTTGTGCAAACCCCACAGAACGTCCACCACGAAGACCGCACAGCAGTGATAACAGTAACAATACCGGCCCGTGGGAAACAGCCAAGCTGACAGACCGACCCAGGGCAGAGAAACGACGAAACGTCTTGCAAAGAACTCTGATGAAATGCTCCCAGAACTCCGAGTTTAGGGCTGCCTTCCAACTAACGCAGTGTATCACCCTTAACTCTGATTTGAACTTTACCAAAAACCCAATAAAAACTGGAATGCAGTTGATGCCCATTAAACCAGAAAATAAAATCATCCCTGCTCGGGAAACGTGTATCATATCAAACTGAAAACCACAGCTCCCCTCGGCAGCGGGAGTCTGATGGCCTAGGACGCAGAGCCTGCGGGGTCACCACGTCTCAGGGACACAGGCTCAGCTCGCAGCCCCACAGCTGCCCACCGGGAATGAAATATCTCCTGGTGGTATAGGATTCAGCACGGGCGCCCGCAGGGGCTGGGAAACAGGAGCCCCCGGCCTCCCTCGCGGGTCAGGAACCCCAGGCAGGCAGGCAGGCAGGCAGGCAGGCAAGCAGGGGGTCTCGGCTCCAGGACACAGCTTCTCCACGGGGACGGCTGCCGCCAGGACACCACCTCCAGGGAGGCATGCATGCCCCAGACCACCGCTCACCTGAGTGTCATACTCCTCCGTCTTCCTTTCAGATTCACTGTAAGTGCCAAACTGCAACGAAATTCAGTACAACCACGTTAAATCGCGGACCAGGCAGGCATCTGGGCTCAGCTTGGCCACCATGCAAGGAGGGACAGGGCGGCAGGCTGAGAGGCAGGAACCCTCGGCCCAGGCGTGGCAGCGCCCCCGCTTCAGAGCCGGGGGTGCAGAGGACCCGATGGCCCCACCTGCGAGCCACGCAGTGTGGGACGCGAGGCAGAGGCAGGCCCGTGAGCCTGTGCGGCACGCCTTGTGCTTCCTGTTCCCAGTTCCATTGAGTTTTGCAGCGAAGACGCTGCTCTTAAGCCAAAGTGGATTCACTGGGCTGACTTAGATCAAGAGAAGCCGCACCCCATCTCCGAGTGACCTGCCCTTGACCTGGAAACCTGGAGCGTCGTAAACCCCAAGGCCCGTCACAGAAAGCAGTGAGCTGCCCCACCGTAAACCTCACTGACGCCCAAGCCCCTGCCCGAATCTGCCCAGGAAACTCCACACCAAAGGACAGCTCTCAGGGAGGCTAGGAACTGTGCTGTCATGTGGTGGCATCACCCCCCGCAGGAGTGGGGAGTGCCACCCCTGAACCTGGCCGACCAGCGTCCTGTCCGGTCATGGAGGTGGACATGATGCTCAGCGTGCTCGGTGCTGGGCCCACGCCTGGGGACCCCGGGCGCATCAGAGAGCCCCGGAGCCTCGTGGGCAGAGCGGCAGAGAGGTGCGGTGACCCGCCCACTCGCCCCGAGACGCCCCTGCATCTCCCTGCTGGTCTGCGGGTAACAAGCTGCCCGTGGGGTCGGAAGGTCAGCGTGAACACGTGACGATCACCTGCTCTCACGGTGACCTGCATCTCACCAGGACGCAGCTAGGAGGCACATCAGCAGTCAGCCTGCATGAGCAGACCGGCCGAAACGCCAAGGTGGGCTGGGAGAAGCCGCAGGAGGTGACAGATCCCCGAGAGGGTGCGGCTGGGTCCCTACCTGAAATGTGGGCCTCAGGCCTCTCCAGATGACGGTCACCTTCAAGGCCTTTTTCACTTTCCACAGCTGAGAAGTTGAAAAGTCCACACTTCAGGCTCCAAGACCAGGGAGAAGCCAGGACCCACCCCTTGGATGGTGACTGACCAGGGCACCGGCCGCTCGGGCCCCTCGCGCCCCAGCCCAGCCCGACCCTTCAGCTACCCGCTGCTCCTCACCTTGCCGTCGGGGACGCCCCGGGACGGCCCCCGGTCTCCAGCCCACACCCACCCAGCCTGTGCGCCCACGTGGACCCGACCCCCTCCCCGGAACCACCGAGGTGGTGCTGGTCGGGCCACCCCCCCGCCCACCTGCACTGACGCCCCACCCCGCCTGTCCCCAGATTCGCCCTGGCACCTTCTTTCTGCTCCCCGGGGGACCCCAAGCCCCACGCCCTGCTGTGGCCGGGTCTCTCCAAGACCCTCCCTAAAGTGGGACCTGCACCACGGCTGTGAGGTCGGTTGCACAGAGCGACTAGTGCCCATAGGGGGGGTCCCGCCAGCACTTCCTTGATGGGCGGTACCAGCGCAGCCCCCAACCCGACAGCCGTGTGAGCCAGTGCCCACTGGCAGGGGCACTGGAATATGACCGCAGCTGAGGGTCCCGGTCAGGGTGCTGCCAGAGGCCTGCTGCCCCCTCCACTGCCCCTGCATCACACGTCCTGCTTCGCACGGCGTCCAGCGCAGCGAGCGCTGCACGGGCTTCAGCCACCGTGTTAGCACATCCCACGGATGGACGAGACAAGGTGAGGCTTCTGGGCCATGAGAAACGTGGAGGCATCGGCAGCTCCGCCTGAGAAGCCGCGGCAGCTGCGCCCTCACCCTGCTGCTGCGCCGGCAGCCACTCCTTCAGCGGTGATGTGGGTCCCGACTACACCGAGCGCTTGGGCCACGGAACCACAGACACAGCGCTCAGACCGGCGCCCCGGCGGGCAGCTCACCTCGATGGCAGCCCCGATGCCTGCAGGAACCAGCACCAGCAGGCTCGTCCGCTCGTCCAGCAGGAACAGGAAGATGACCACGGTGCTAAAGCAGCGCCAGAGCACTGGGGAGACACGGGCTGCGCTGAGGCCCGGGCGCGGCCCCCTGCCCTGTGCACCGGCACCCCGCTCGCTTCTGCCCCTCTGTCCACTGAAAAGGAACTGCGGACCACAGGCGGCGACGGGAAATGCAAAATGACTACAAAAGGCTACGGCCCCGACAGACGGCAACCTCGGCAGGTGAACGTGTGTTAAGTTACATTTACAGACACAAAAGGCACAGGAGGCGTGCTAAGAAAACTGGTTCCTGACAGGGATCCTGCACTCTAATCTCAGGCTTTCCTGCTTTCACCCTGGCCCTGCGGAGCCTGCGTCTGTCCTTTAAAAGCTGCACTTTGTCCTTTCAGGTTGTGCTTTAGAAGATGCCGCAGCCGTGGAGACACTCCCTGTAGGGAGCTCCCCGCCGGGAGCTCAGGCCCTGGGACCCACAAGCCCCGCTCATGCCACAGGCTGAAAAGGCCAGGGGAGGGCGCAGGAGGGCTCAGCGGGGGACCCTCCCCTCCAAGGAAGCCAGATGTCACGACAGAAGGCCCCGAGACACGGACTCTGGACTCGGGGGCCACCCCAGCATCCCAGGGCACCCACTTGGGTGTCTCTTCTGCAGGAGAAAAAGAACCGTTTCCTGCAGGAGAACCAGCTTGGGAGCCAAGCAAGACTGTGAACTGCCACAGACGGGCGCTGAGAACCGGCCTCCATGTCGCCTGCCCTCCGTGCTCCCTGGCTTCCGTGGCACTCACCACGACCGCGGACACAGCACCCTCCCGGGCTGCTACCACAGGGGATCTGAAAGCCCCTCCCGAACAAGAGCCACGTTGGCCACGGGCGATCGCAAACTGTAGGTTTCCAAACGAGCTTTATCACCTGCCTGTATCGCCAGCGGCGGGACAGGCCCTGAGGGCGGGGGCAGTTCTCAGAGCACCTACCTGCTTTGGTGGACATTCCGGTCATGCTCTTCTTTTTCTTCCAGAAACTGATGTCATTTTTAAACGCTAGGAAATCAAAAAGCAGCTGGAAAGAAGACAGGACAGCGATGAGACCCTCAAGCTGTGTAGACAAGCCCGGGCTCGACGTGAGATGCTGGCCTTTCAGTAACACCCGTGTCTCCCAGCACAGCTCTGGAGAGATTCGGCTTCACTGGAGGCCAGTTCCTAGGCCCTGGGAGCCGGCTGCGGCTTGGCGCCGGTACCTCGCGGCCTCACCCCGGCCCCCTGCCCCCGAGCCCCCAGGCTGCTTTCCCCAGGGGCCGCCAGCCGCGGTGTCTAATGGGGATTCTGCCGGCAGGGCTGGTCCGTCCCTCTCTGAACTGCCACACCATGCCTCCCACGGGAAGCACTTATTTTGCAAAGTCATTCGCTGATCTCACTGGTTTTGGATTTGTTTCCAAAACAGCTTCCAAGAGCAGTGGATGAAGCCCCAGGTCCCTCAGCTGGTGGGCGCCCGGGGCGCAGAGCCCCTCCCGAGCGGGCGCCGGGGCCACTCACGTGGAGCGCGGCCACAAAGAAGGTCAGCGCCAGGAGATACAAGTTGGTGTCGACGAGAATCCCCTTCACCTCGTCAGCGTCCCTCTCCGAAAACCCTGCAAAGGCCCTGCGTGAGACGGACGCCACCAGCCCCACGCCAGAGCCCTGGCCAGGCTACACCGCATCAGCAGGGAGAGCTCCGCGGGCCAAGCATGCCCCTTCAAGGCGGGCGATCTCACAGGCGGAATGGAAGCCGGGCTCCGGGGCTCCCGGGCGGGACTGAACCCCTGAACCTGGGGCACCCGCCCGGCGGCCTCACCGAACTGCTGCAGCGAGAATACGGCATCCTGCATGTGGATCCAGAAGCGCAGCCGCCCCAGTGAGATCTTGTCGTAGGACACGGTGAGGGGCAGCTCGGTGGTGGAGCGGTTGATGACCTGCGGGGAGGGCACCGTGAGAGCCCAGCCCCACGCACGCTGCTCTGCCCGGACCCAAGGCCGCGTCTCCCCTGCTCTTTCCTCCTGTGGGGCGCCAGCTGTCTTCGCAGCCCCGGCAGGGCACTCCCCCAGGAAGCCCTGGCACCCTGACCTCCCGCCCACCACCCGGGCCCCGCGCGCCTCTCATGACCACAGCCCTGGGCGCTGGCGCCTCCTGGGCAGGAGCTGGGGGCCCGCCCGAGTGGCCAAGCCGCGCACAGGCCTGAGGGAGCCCTGGCTACTCACCGTGAGGTCCTTGACCCGGCTGCTGAGCTGATCGATGAACAGGATGGGCAGGTAGTGCACCGTCTTCCCCAGCCGGATCCTGGGGGATCGGAGCCGTTTCAGGGCCACAGCGAGCTCTCGGGCCCCCAGGACTGAAGGCGGCCCCAAGACGCGGGGTTACCTCACAGAGCTCACCCCACCCCCATCTTCAGTGGCTTCCGGTCGCAAGTCCCAGGACACGCCTCCCCAGGGCAGCAGAGGCGCCATGAGCTCCGTTCTTCCCCTGCACAGCTGCCACCAGGAGGAGGTGGGGACCATGCGCACAGTGGGACGCCACTCAGGACGCGAGGGGAAGCAAGGGGCCGTGAGTGTGCCGACGCGGGGCAGCCCACGACATAGTGAGAAGCCAACACCCATAGGCCCTCCATGCCTGGCTTTCACCCCATGACCCTTCTGTGCCTTTCACACTCAACCGTGCGAATGGATCACGTGTTCAGAAATCAGATTTTACTTTTACAAAAGGGAAAACCTCACGACACCACCACAGGACCCACTGGAAACCGAAGGAGGAAACAATTCTCAGCAGAGCCATTTCTAGGTGCTATGTGACGACCCAGTGACGGGCTGTGATCTCACAGGGGGGCTCCCTGAAGCGTAGAGACCCGGGATAATCTAAGTCAGTCAATTTTAACAGTCACGCTTACGACAGCAGGTGACGGGCACAGAACAAGCTAACGATCCATTTTTAAGCAAAGGTAACGGAGTCAGAGCTGACAGGACGCAGACAGGACAAAGCCTCCTGTGCGTGGCGCAGAGGAACAGGGTCTCACCAAGGCTCCCCATTTTCCCCTCCAGCTTCTGCCAAGAGCAAAAGGCAAGGTGCTGCCTGTCGTGTCGTCGTTTCTCTTCCATAGCCTGGCGGCAGCCGTGATCACCAAGACCCCCAGGGAGGAGGGACAGGCTGGGGTGCTCCAGGAAGCACCCCAGGCCCCACGTCACAGAGGGGGCTCAGGAATGTAGGTACGGCCCTTCTGCTGTAGGATTCTGGCTGGCCTCGATCCCTCCACCCTCCACCCACCAGGTCACCCCTTTGCTGTCCGCTCAGGGAGCGAACGAGCGATGCGCAAAGCTGGGCAGGTGAATGTGAACTACGGTGGCCTTCCCACCGTCTGGGCCTCAGCTCAGCGGCCAGACCAGAAGCACTTACATCTTCATGTACCGATGCACATCAGCGGGCAGGGAGGCCCCGTCAAAGACGAAGTCATCCACCATCACGTTCAGGGTCAGCCTTGGTCTCCAGTGAGACACGGGTTCATCCAGGGCATTCGCTGGCCTCTTCTCAGCTTCGATCTGCTGCCACACGTAAGGACTGACTTAGAGGAAAAGACCAAGGCTGGGGCGGGAGGGGCCCGGGGGGGGTCTGAGGCAGCAGGGTGCTGGCACTGTCATCTGGGAACAGCCCACAAGCCGAGAGCACAACCGTAAGAAGGGCCAGCGGAGCATATGGGAGGACCCACGGCTGCCAGCTCCCCGATTCTCATACCCGCACCTCCTCCTCCCAACAGAAGACAAAGGGTGTGCTGTTTCGCACCGTGGGGTCCTGGATCTCACTGCCTCCTGTTTTGAGCCCTTGTCCGGAGCAGGGATTCCGAGGACGAGCCTCCGGCACATTTTCAGGAGGTGCTGGAGCTGAGAGCCCCGCCCTTGCAAGGAGGCTGAAGGGAGACGCTTCTAAACCAGCTCCACCCCGCTGTCTGGAAAGGGGCATGTCCATGTCTAGAGAACAAGCCTAAAGCTACTGAACTCAGAAACAAACTCTGCCCGGCAGGGAAATCTTGATTTCAGATCTAACTGAGAAGCTCTGTGAACCGTGTCATTCTATTAATATTTATCTCCTCCCTAAAGCTACAATTTAGCACTAACAGTTACACTAAAAACAGCCTCCCAAGGAGTAGCGATAGCTAACGTTTATTCAGCACCTGTAAGTTCCAGAGACTCCTTCCACCCTTCACACCACCGCCCGGCACCCCAGAAAGGCCCATGAGGCAGTGTCGTGCGGTCCCCAAGGAAAGAGAACTGAGGGGTCTTTCCAAGGACACACATGAGACAGCTGCAGACACATCCTGGAGAGCTGCCGCCCCTGGCGTGGATGACTTCCCTTGCATTCAGCGTGGACCCGAATACCAGGATCCCTCTGTCCCACCCTCCACTGCGGTAATGACCGCGTATTCAATCTCCGGCCTTTCCCTGTACGTACAGCTTTCTATGGGTGTACAAGATACAATCTGCACACACACTTTTTTCCTAATTTTGAGTTATATCCTCAGAATAAATATTCAAGCATTGTCCTGTCCTACACACAGTGCAGTGTCTCCCAACTCTAAGTTCTGACTGTAGCTGAGCTCTGCAGAAGGGGCTGCCCTGGACCCACTGGGTGCACACACGCTCTCTGGGGGCTGAGAGGTCCTGTGGCCCGAGAAGGAATCTGGGTAAAGAAAGTCACTGAACAGGCTTCCCTGGCGATCCAGTGGTTAAGACTCCACGCTTCCACTATAAGGGGCACGGGTTCGACCCCTGGTTGGGGAACTAAGATCCCGGCGTGCCACACGGCACAGCCAGAAAAAATAAAAACCAAAAATCACTGAACACTTAAACTGCACGTCACTCATTTGACATAAATTTATCTGCAAGCCCACGAGAAGTTACTGAGCTGAAAACGTATGTGCCAATAACATCTGACCGCTTCACTTCCCAGCAGTCAGTCTAGCGCCAGATGCAAACTGTACGTGCAGACACGTGTGTGTGAACTACAAGGGGGTCAGCGGGTTTCCTTCAGCCGGCACCACTCACCTGCGTGGCAGATTCCCCAGTGAGCAGGTTGACCTCTTCCGGTTTGGGGACCATGTAGGTGGTCAGCGGGCTCACCAGGTGCACCTGCTTCCCGTCGTGCCAGGGCAGGACGCCGGCGTGATGGATGAAGATGTAGGCATACAGCGTCCCGTTGTTCCTGGTTTTCTTTGGAACAGAAACATTGACCGTCCTACAACAAAACAAATGATGATTTCAACCATGTACACATTATGCTGTGTGTGCACACAGAGTGGAGACTATGCAAATATTTCTATAAAAAATGTCGTTTCAAACCAAAACCACCTAATTTTAGCTGAGAAATACTAAAAACAAGACCCAGCTACCTGGATGTTACTGAAGTCCTGAGTGCGCACATTTATGGAACACACCCTGAAAGCACGGCAGCTGCCCAAGAGCTGAAACGCCTGCATTCTGGGTGCTAAGGGGGCCAACACCAAACGTGTGTGCGCCCCGCCCCCATAGCGGCTAGAGGATGTGTATCCTGCAAGACACCATGCACCCCGGTGCTCACTCTGACGCCTCCCAGACACCCAAGAGGGAAGAAAACTGGGGACAAACACATCATCTTTAAAATTAAACTTGCTGGAATTTAAGAAACTAGAACCACAGATTAAATACAGCTTCAAAAAATCACTCTACAGATGTCAACGTTTATATTGCTTGCTCTGTTGCAAAGTTACATTTCACTCAAATTACGACTTTCTGCTAAGTTCTTCCCTCCTTCCCCTTTCCTTTTCCCTTCTAGACGACATAACTGAACCACTTCCGCCAGGAAAACACAAGTTGTTTTCTGTGGGAAACTGCGTGTGTAAGCTCTGCTCCCCAGGTAGAGTGCCCACCATAGCCCCCGCTCCTATGGGAGCTCCCCAGGGCCGCACCGTATCCCACAGCTGTCAGACGCTGGGTAAGATGCTTCCTAAAGGACAAACTCGGCGTCTGCTACTTTCAAGTAAAACAAAGTCTGCTTGTGGGTGTGTCACACACACCTGCAATGAAAACGCGCTACCGTGCACGAGACGGCTGGTGACGCTGTGGCACCCTCCTCACGTGCAAGACGCTGACCTGTCAACAATCTCAACGTCAATGATGCCTCCCTGTCACCCTGTCCACAAGCATACCTTTCAAATTTGGACTCCACGTCAAAGTCCTCCACGTTCAAGACCAGGTCCACGTTGTTCTCGGCACCCAGGTTGGACCGTGTGGCGGTGTACACGCTGAGCTGGAAAAGACGTCAAGAAAGTCAGCTGGGCAAGGCCCCTGGCAGAAAGCACACAGAGATCTGACCAGCCACCCAGGGAAAGGTGCATCTTAACTCCCCAAGGGACACAACTTCGGCCGGTGACAGGAGGTTCCGGGACGCACCTGCTGCAAAGGAACAAACTGCTAAAGTGTGTGGCTGGCTGATGAACGGGGCAGGGGTACAGGGACGCTGTACGCCTTGTGATGGGGTGAAGAGGGGTACGGGGGCCAGCGTGCGGGGTCAGGAGCTTTAGGATTCGGGGGCGCGGAAGAGAGGTCTCAGCCCAGACCCGGTCAGGTTCAGGTGCGAAGGGCCCGGCCCCACCCAGCCCGAGATCAGAGGTCAGGTGCGAAGGCCCGCGCTCACCTGCAGCTTGGGCCTCCGCGCCAGGTAGGGCTGGATGCAGTTGCCGTCGCCGGCGCATGGGCGGGTGTAGACAATGCCATACATGACCCAGCAGGTGTGCACCACATACACCACGAACACGCCCACGACCAGGCTGGTGAAGGAGCTGCGGCCGCTCCACATGGCGGCGGCGCCGCCGCCGCCGCCGCCGCCGCCGCCGCCGCCGCCCGGCCCGGCCCGCCTCGCAGCTCCGCCGCCGCCGCCGCCGCCGCCGCCGACGACCTGTCGCTGCTGGATTCGCCGGTGCGCCGCTTCCGGGCCCGCGCCGCCCGCCGGAAGTGGGCGCGCCGCGCGCCCCCCTGGGAAGCGTAGTCCCGCCGCCGCCGCGCACGCGCGTACGCCTGCGTGAGTGGCGCGGCGTGACGTCACCTGCCTGCGCCGTCCTCCCGGCGTACCCCGCGGGGGTCCGGGCGCTGGGATTTCGGCGGGTCCGAGGGCGCCAATGGGGCGGGGGCATCGGGAGGGTCGGGGCGCAGGGCTCCCCAGCGCCGCCCCCACCGGAGAAGCGGGAGGGATCCTCGCCCCCGGGCCAAACGGCGAGGCGGCGTGTGAACGCGGAGGAGCTGGGCTGGAGATGCGGCGGGGGTGTGCGCTGTTCTCAGCCTTTCTGAGTCTGGCGTTATGTCAATGTGAAAAATGGAAGAGAAAAGAAATAGACTCACTAAAGTCAGCGACCCTTTCGTGTTGATTTCCGTCGTCTTTAAATATGAACCCCCAGAGGGGCGCCTTTGAAGAACAACACAGCATTTCTAAATGAGAGGCCGAGGCCCTTGTCAACGAAAGTAATCGATAAACAATCTATAATAATTATAGAAAAGAGTTTTATTTGAGCCAAGCTGAGGACTAGCCCAGAAGCCCGCTTACCAGGTTTCCCTGAGGAACTGCTCCGGATAAGCATGATTTTCAGCACAGTTTTATATTTCGTCAGATCAAAGAACATTAAACAAGTCAGATAACATTTCTTCAAGGTTTTAATAAAAAGAACAGATCAGCACCTACACAGCGAATCAGTATGGCCTTGGCGCCTAGGAAGGGCTTCTTATCATCAAAGGAGGACCAGCATTGGCGTCCCAGGAAGAGCGCCATTTAATCTTTTTTTTTTTTTTTTTAACATGGACATTCTTTACTTCTGGTCAATGTGTCCTATTTTTCTAATAATTAAAGCAGATGAACAATGTATGTTTGATAGGCCACAAACAGGCTGTTTTAGTTAGCATCAAATTTAAGTTAATTCATATATAAGCCAGAACGACTTCCCTGTATCTTAATATGTGAACAGTTTTTTTTAAAAATCACCCTCTAGTGCCTCCCAGGAGCCGAGGCTGCTGAGGGCTGGACCAGATCCTCAGTAGCTCCCCTTAGGGCCAGCCGCCCACCCGCTAGAGGGAGAGCTCAGCTGGGGCTCCAGGGAGTGAGGGAACTCATTCCCCCTGTCTAGGCTTGATGGTGCTCATGTTGTCCTGTTGAAAGCTGCCCAGTTGGCCCCTGGAAGGGCATGTGCTCTTCCTGTTTGCATTAAAGAGTCCGAGGAATCAGGACCTATGATTCATTGGAGCCTCCCATGCCCAGTGGCCGGCCCTCTGTGATGGAGAATGCGCCATCCTCATTCGCATTCACATCCACTTCTCTCCTCTTTTCCTTCTGTCTCACAATCAAAAACATTGCTAAGCATTTATAGAAACAGTAGATGCTGTTAAAGACCCAATAAATTGCTCAGGGCTTCAGAGAAGGGGGTGGGGGCTCGCTGAGTAAATGGGAAAGTGATTTGCTGCTGCAGAGATGGTGGAGGGATGGAGGCCTCCCAGGAGCAAGGCATCAGGGGCGGAGTGCAGCGGTGGCTCTGGGTCACCCCCCTGGGATATGGGTCAGAGACTTAGGGGCATCGGAGACTTTTCCCTGCCTCTTGCACCCTCACGTACTCACCCTCCCCTGTAGCATCTTCTTGTGGCCATGTTGGCTTCAGCCATTGGAATAGCATGTAGCTGGACCCCCGTCTCCACCTTCCCCTCCAGCCTACTCCCTGTTCAGCACAGCTGCCCTCCTGTTGGAAACCCTTTGCTGACTCCTGTTACCCTGAGTATAAAATCCATCCTCCTTAGCGGGCTTACCAGCCCTTTGCCCTCAGCTGTCATGCACTGTGCTCCTGCCACACTTGGGGAGCACCTACAGGGCTGGGCTGCTCTACACCCTGCAGCTTTGCCCTCGGTGCTCTACTCTGTGCAGCGGAGGAAGGCATGCTATAGGCCTCTTAGTCTGCAGGGAACAAAGGCCAGCTCCAGTTTTGTGAGCCTACAAGGGGATGGGTGGGGTACCCAAGGCAGGGTATCTCACGGCATCCAGAGGCCAGGATACAGCCGGGCTTCAGTGGGGGGGCTCTAGGGTGCAGCTTCACATCCCTCTCCCAGTCTCGCAGGCTGAGTTTTGATCCCGTTTGAACTCTGTTCCAGGTGCAGCTAGTTATTGCTCTGCAGGGAGGAGAGACGTCCCGCAGAACTGGGTGTCCCACTGTTTGTGCGTCCAGGAACTGTGAAAAGACCTTGGTGTGTGGGAGCTTGGGGCCCACACAGCTTCCAGACTCCAGGTCACGCCCTGTGTCCGATGCCCAGCCCCCTTGGTGAGGATGTGGCTCCCATGGGGTTCTCTTTCCCACCCACAAAAAATACTCAGTGTTGGAAAGTTACTCATAACAGCTCTCCTGTTTCTGAGCGGCCCTCCTGGTGCTGGTCTGTAGGTTATATCTGGAGAACTTACTGTTGAGAGTGGGCATTTGGTTGGGGTCCCTCGAATGCTAATCACTTTCCTCCAGAGTGAGGCTTGTTCTCAGGGCCCCTCAGATGTCAGCCCCCGGGCGCTGTGTGAGGTCAGAACTCCAGTGTTCACACACACACCACACAGGCTGTCACAGCCGGGTGCTCTGCGCTGTTTCCTCACGGGGTGGGGTCACCTGCAGAAAGAGGGGAAGCTGCTGCTGGGCCCAGGGCTGCATGGAGCCCGCCCACCGCCCAAGGGCCTTTCTTTACTTCATTCATGGTAACTCCCAAGTGGAGCGGACTCCTGGTATGATCCCAAGTTTTCATCTCATTTTTTGGGCCCAAGAACTACTCACCACGCCCCTGAGGATGAATAACTATGGACGGCCCTGGATGGAGGCCACAGACCCAGGTTCCCAGGATAAGGAAGGGGGCTGCCATCGAGGTGGGGGAGAAACCTCCTCCGTACCCCCTCACTTCCAGGTACGCCATCAAGTCCATCGTTATTTTTGCTTTAAACAGTTTAGCTTCAGGAACTTCCGTTAGCATTTCTTGTTCTGCCAAAATCTGCTGGTGGTAAATTCTTCCAGTCGGCCTTGTTTCTGATGAGAAGTTGGCAGTTATAGCTGTATTATCTTTGTTTCACTTTATGTAGGCTGTCTATTTTCTCTGGCTGCTTTTAGAATTTTTATAGAAAGTCGCTGCTTTTTGGCAGTTTGCTGCAGCGGTTTCCCTCGTTTGTCTCGTGTGAGGCCTGTTGAACTTACCCAGTTTGTGAGTTTCATCAAACTTTAAAATGTTGCAGCCAGGATTTCTTCAGATACTTTTTTTTTCTTTGCTGTACGCGGGCCTCTCACTGTTATGGCCTCTCCCGCTGCGGAGCACAGGCTCCGGACGCGCAGGCTCAGCGGCCATGGCTCACGGGCCCAGCCGCTCCGCGGCACGTGGGATCTTCCCGGACCGGGGCACGAACCCGTGTCCCCTTCATCGGCAGGCGGACTCTCAACCACTGCGCCACCAGGGAAGCCCTCCATTGAGTCTTTTATTCTTTCTTTTTACCTGCATCTGGAAAAAACGCCCTATAGTAAATAGTGGTATTCCTTGTATCTCTTTACAGCCACACAGGTCTCTATTTTGTGGATGTACCACAGTTTACTCAATGGTCTCCATGTTGATGGACAACTGGGTTGTTTCCAGCCTTTAGTTATTGTGACTAGGGCTGTAATACATACCCTTGAACATACAATTTCTCATAGTTTTTGACGGTGTGTCTGAGATAGGTTCTAAGAGGTGGAGGCATAGATTCAGATGGTAAGTGTAGATGTTCTCACCAGGTGCAGCCATGTTTCTTCCCCGGCTGGCACACTGCTCAGTTTCTCACCGCCAGTGTGAGCGTGCGTGCTTTTCTGGTGCTCTGCCTTCAGGGTCCAGTGGCAAACAGTCTGAGAGGTGAGGTGCTGTTACGTGGTGGGAGTTTTCGTGGGTGTCTCTCTGAAGACGAGAGACGCCTGGCCGTGTTGGAGCAGAGTCTGAGCCCCATTCTGTGCTTAACTTGGGGTGTTTCCTGAGCCCATTCATCTTGGCGCATCGGAGGTGACTCTGCAGGGTTTATGTATCAGCAAAAATAAAACCCTGTGAAGAGAAACTGTGAGAAATGCAGTGGAGGTGCTGCTATGTGGAAACGGCAGGAACAGTTCGGAGGCGCCGAATGGGGTGGGTGCCGGCCTCTGGGCCCCTTCTCCCCTGGGGTGGGTTGGCTTGTATTCCTAGGTGTGGTCACAGATAGCGGAGTGAAGTTGGCCGTGACCAGTCAGTCCTGGACACTGGACTCAGCTTTCAGGTGAGACGTGTAACTCCTCCTAGAGTTACCTTTGGTGAAATCGGGATAATCCGCCTGTTAGCAGAGGGTTGAGGAGAGCAGATGTTGGAAACCCGCGGCCCAGAGCCCAGCATGAAGGAACAGCCAGGTCCTACTAGGTTGTCCTGGCCGCCGGACCATCGTTTGTTGGATGGCTGCCCTGTGAGGCATTGGCCGGCCTGGAGGGAGGGTCAGAAGGGTCTGGCTCTGGGCCCGTGTGGGTTTGCCATGGTGGCTTCAGCATCTGACATCCCTTGTCTGAGTTCTGGAGGCTGGGGGCCCAAGATCAAGGTCTCTTTGAGGGCCATCTCCTCACTGTGCCCTCATATCTGTCCCTGTCTGTGTCCTAGTCTCTTATGGCCATGACAGCGCTCGGATTGGATTAGCCCCCTCCCTGGTGACCCCTTTCAGCTTGATTACCTCTTTAAAGACCTTATGTCTGAATTCAATGACATTCTGGGGTCCTGGGGGTTAGGGCGTCAACATGTAAGTTTGGAGGGAAACAGCTCATCCCA